TGTATGTTCTTGGGGTACCAGGAGGTTCGATTTGGTACAACGAATGACTTGACACATGATGCATGATTATTTTAGATACAAATACATTACAAGCACAACTAAAGTTGACTGCAGATGCTACAATGTGGAGAGGGCCTGGTCACAACCATACAAAAGAACTTGTTCAGAAATTTTCAAATGACCTTAACTCAGTCTTAACCCTAAATCTATCCCGAATTCCCCCTTTTTCAGTTCCCCTTACTTTGCAGACATTGGTTTAATAGCAGGTTAATGGAGAAAAAAATATATTTAGTTTCTGTCCTGGTCCGTGTGCAAAACCTGGTCCAAAAACAATGGGAAACAATGAGGAGCTTTGTGGAACTTCCAGTCAACATGAACTATAAAGAGTGCCACCTCGATTCTCTATATCCTAGAATTCTGTATTAATAAAATGGTTACCTATACATGTCACATGAGTAGGAAAATGTTTTTCTTATGTGTCCAGAGAAAAAAAGAGGAGAGACAAACACACATGAAGTAGTGCCAATGTCATGATGGATGTCACACTTTTGATTGTCGTGTACTAACCACACAAGGAGATTGGGGGGTTTGTCTGTTCATCCGCCCCCCGTGTCGTGATATTAGGCTCTATTTGATTTACCCACGAACTCAGAGATGTGGCTTTACTGGGTTAGGGTTAGGTTTCAAACAATTCTAAACAATCTCTGTACATTTTATAAAATGGTAACAATTTTCCCCCTTGATTATTCAGGGAAATTCCAACCCAAAATATCACCTTAAACTGACAGACAGCTGTTCATAAATACACAACGAAGACGATAACTGCAGTATTTGCTTGATGAGTTCAGTTTAACCCTTTGACACAGCAATAATCTGGTTTCTCACATCAACTCTCTGTTCTCCTCCCTTCAGAGCACACGAGTGTGTGAGGGTAATGTTCAGTAAGAAACCGTTTGACTGTAATTCCTCCAGACGTAATCACTGCGTCCAGCGCATTAAATAGCGCTCAACATAATCAGCCCTTTCTGGTAATGCGCTAATTACATCACCGTGACACGCCGTATGTGTGTATGTGTCATTATTTCAATTCTAAATCCTGTAACGGAGTGAAGAAATCCATAAATCCTTCAGGCTCTGGTGTTTTATGTTTTGTAACGGCTAATTAGATGAAGCACATAGAAATCAACATGAAATGGGAATTAAAGCGCTCTGTCGTATAATAATTTATGCATAAAGATCTCTTTCTATGTAAGACAGAAATATTAATCTATCACAGGAGTCCTTTAATTTTGCAATACACAACATTCAAATGATTTTTCCTTTCCCGTGAGATTTTTCTTTCCAACTTTACAACAATAAAACATACTTTTGCATACAACAATGGGGATTTGTTTAGTTTAATCATAGTATCAATTTTCTAAAATTTTATGACAACACAAACCACTCCCTAGCAACCTGATTGTTTACCATAGCAACCAAATTATTAGAACTCTCAGCTTTGTTGTATAAATGAAGCATGGAGTTCGTTTACATAATTTTGAGTCAAAAGGTCAACAATATAGTATGTCACTGACCCCTCCATAGCAACCAGACTGTTTATCATAGCAACCAATTTGGCATGTCTCTATCTCAGCTAATGAAAATTATAGATGCATGGGGTGTATGTTTCACATTGTAAAAATAGTTGTTCTCTTTTAAAAACAGTTTTACACGACACTAGCACTAGCCAACATCAAAGTTTGCATGCAAACTTTAGCCGTCTAGTTTATTGTTGCCCCTGATTGATTTTAAAGTAGAATTACAATGTTTATATGTTTTATTGGCAGGTTAATGACCAAAAAAATAATGATAAGTGTTAAGTAAAATAATTTTAAAAAGGCAAGAACTGGTTGGGCAAAAAAAAGCAGAACCAGTCTCTATTATAGAGTTAGTGGTTTGATTGGTGTGTCTGCGGCTGCGCTGGTGTTCAATTGCCACTGATGCTCATTCCAGCATTAAGAGCAGAGGGTTGGGGTTGACTGAACAGAGCCACAGCACAGATGGAGAGAATATATCGCAATGCACATAACATAATGCAAGACATTGCTCAAGACTAGTGACCGAGAGAACAGTCTGATGATAAATAAAACTGAGGCACCGAAAGCTGTTTTAAGAAGAGAGAAAGTAATGTTCTGAGCATTGAATAATGGCTGAGCATCAGGTGAACAATGTCAATGCTGGCTCTGACCTGTAAGGGTGACCTGTTTTCCCTGTCAGTGTATTATCATATGTATTATTTGAGTTAATCATGACAAAAATACAAGCCCGAGTCTAAATACCTGTCTCAAATCCAGACTTCAGTACTACAGCACTACTTACAGGAAACTCCATCAGATCTAATTAAAGGCTCACAATAAACTTTAATTCTGAAGAAGGGTAAAAAACAACTTAAAAGGTAATTTCCCCTAAAACAAAGAGCAGAATCTTTGACCCCTTTAATAGTTTATGGTGGAAGAACCCAAAACTCACAAACTTTTTGGTGTTTAGGCAAATGGAATGATTGTGACATTATATTTTTACACATATTTTAAAGTGCTTTGACATATGTAAAAACCTTTGCATTATGTAGGTAGATGTCAGGTGATATTTTTTTTCTACATAGATCAGAATGACACATTTTTTTATTAATATTTTTGTGTGCCGTGATTTTATTATTTATCTATTTTTTGCGCATGCCCATCTAAAGGGTTATTGGTTCCAACTGACGATTTCTCATCTCAACAGTGAAAGAATTGATCATCGGGCAAAAGGCAGGGTACATCCTGGACAGGTCACCATTTCATCACAGATAATGGAAGTCAATCACAAAATCAGCCATGAACGGTAAATGATGCTGCACAAAAATGAACAATTAATTTAAGTCATTGTTGTTACTAATTTTTCATATACCCAAGACTCCTAAAATGTTTTATTAACTTTTATAAAAAAAATTAAGTCATTATTAATTTTTTTTGTTGCGAAATTTTTGAATATGTATGAATTTGAAAACTACTGAGTTAAAATCTATTTGTGTGTGTGTATATATATATATATATATATATATATATATAAAATCAAGTAAGGTTTCTTCAATCCTTAGATCTACACATTGTTAATGTAATAAATGATAATAAAACAGAATAAAATATGTAATGTGTACACAAATGTGAAACTTTACCTTGTGTGAAGCGATGTGTCGGAGGAGGTGGAACGGCTGGCAGAACACATTACAGCACCACATATGAACGTTAGCTTTCTCAAGATATTTCACAAATTACAAACACCAACACGGTTTAAAGCACAGGCCCAGACAGATGGAGAGACGCTTCTGAGAACGTGTCACTGGGTTTCTTTAACTTGCGCTACAGAACAGCACTTTCCACTTTATAAACGTTATTTCTTTTACAACACCATGATTCTAACATTTGTTATAGCACATTATTACTAATCCATAAATAATGTTTCGCTGTGTTGTTGAAGTGTTTTGAACCACATTAGAGCCTTTTTGCACTGGGAGATAGGAGCGCAAGAACCCAGAAACACTACGGAAAATACAGCAGAACAGCTTGTAAATGTTCGTATCTCGGAATTTTCTTCGCATCTCCAAGCAAAAAATTTCCCGCGAGACCATTAGTATCTGGGTAAATCAAGCTCAATGAACTCAAATAACACTGTGAAGAGACAGCTCTCTGTGGAATTTCTGCATGAAAGTTTTGTATGATTTCCTTTTTTTGACAGTGCAGTTAATGTCGTCTCATTTCTATGACTCAAACGAGATGCGATTGAGGAAGCATTGAGCATTAGAAGGAATCTTCTGTGTTTTTCTCGTGGATTACTGATTAATGCATGCGATTCAGTCAAACACTGGGCAGTTTTTAGATCAACGCGCCGGGCCATGGATGGACTTTCTGTGTTAATGTAAAGCTACACGCTGACACCGCTGGATTTTTAATGCACTCGGCTGATGTTGCTAATGCATTAGAGCTGTACGCTGCTGGACTCCTCTCTTCTAGTCCAGTAAAAAACAACAGAAGAGTTTCTCCTCTGGAGTGCAATAACTTCTTCCTTCTCAGAACACACTCATAAAACACAGTAGATGACATCGAAATTCTGAATCTTGTCAAATCTCTTTGCCTTTTAACTGTTTTCATATATTTTACTCGCTGAAAATGACACCTTCAAACCAAAATGTAACTACTTCAGGTTTTTTTTTTTTCAGAATGATTCATGTAGTTTGTCCTTTGCTTTGGATTAAACATTCTAAACACATCTCCTCTTAGACCAAGAGTAACAGCCACAAAACTTCGCCAAGACTTCCAAACTGGTCTGATTCATGTTGCTTTATCTTTTCAGAATGCACCCACTAAAGGAATTCTGGGAAATTGCTAAGAATGCTGGGGACTTTTTTATTGACCTAACATGGAACCTAAACTGAGTAGCTTTTGGAAACTTCAAAGTGACCACTTTGTGGAGGTTATCAGCCAGTCCGAAAACATACCAGTAACTGCGCAAAATTTATTGAACCCTAGACTCTAGAAGAGGTTAAATATTTACCAGTGACAAAATGGTCATTGGGAATAAATGGCAAAAGGCAATAAATTTTGTTTGCCCGTGTCAGACAGATAAACTTCATCCCAGACAGGAAGCAGACATCTTATAATGTTAAATATATAAAGGGTTCACACCAAAACCAAATTATAATCAAATATATCCGCAGGAACAGGAATTACACGATACACCAAAACCTAAAGGCTCACAATACATTCAGGCCTGCCGTTAGAAGTAGTGCATAATAAAAGTGAAAGTGACATTAGGACCAAGTATGGAGTGAACCATTCAAGGTATATGTGCTCTGCATTTCACCCGTCCAAGTGCACACACACAGCAGTGAACAAACACACACCCGGAGCAGTGGGGAAACTGGTGACTTGCTCAAGGCCACCAATGTAATGGTTGTTTCAACATTCATCTCACTTTCGACTCCTAGTGAAGCTGGGCATCGAACCAGTGACCTTTTAATTTCCAGCCAATCACCTTATCCTCTAGGCTACGACTGACCCCTCAATGTTCTTGGTTCCTTAATAGCTACTGAATTTGTGTATACAGGCTCCTCCCCACTGGGTGTTTTGCAGAGGTTTCCCAATTCCTAAGGAAAACCCCTGCAGACACGATGTTAAGAGAAAAGGGATAGTTACAAGCTAGGTGGCAATCCGAACACTCGATGAAATTCCGAAGGAGCTACACAACCAGAGAGCAGCCAACAAAGGAAACCAACAACATCCGGATGGACCGAACAGCAGGTATGAAATAAAAGAACCAACAAACAGAGGAGAGCAAAACAGCAGCGTCCAATGGATGAGTGTCTGTTATACTCTGTGCCGTAAACCGGCATTAAGCTTTGGACCACTGCACACAAGGCCACAAACCAGCAGCAGGCCACAAACCAGCAGCAAACCTTCGCACTGTGGCCATTGGAATGGTCCCATCTCCTAGCTGCCGTTTGCTTCAGGTGACACCGTGGTAATAGAGACGTCAGAGGAAATTAAAAAGGCGACTCCGTTTTATATCTGACATGAGCACTCTAAACCACACCGCAGCCAGCAATCATTTAGTAGCCATGGCAACCAGAGGACAAAAACAGAAGGACAAGACCTCATCCTGTCACACATGCAAAACCTGGTTTTCTTGGGCTAGATACAGATTTCTATGTGGAATGAAATGGAATGGAATAAAATGATTGGCAGAACTTAGAGTCTGGATGAATTATCCAAAAACAAGGCCATTTTGTTTAAAACTAATGATTTGATGTTACTAGATATTAAAGTTGAGAATTGCATTCAATCAAATAGCGGCGGAGGGCCAGTTCTATCAAAGCCAAAACTAATGACACGTCTGGGAAGAGCAGAATCTTGCCGTCCCCTGACAGCGGTTTCACACTCTTGAAAAGCTGAAGAATCAGAGCATGAAATGTAGAGGTGAGGAGACATTCAGCATCTGATCATCACATGAAAGACAGAAGAGAAAGATGATGAGATCTTTCTATCCGAGGGATCGAGAAAAAGAGGTTTTATGAACACCGAGCAAGGCCATCCATCAACACGGACGAGCAAAAGCTTTTTAAAGAGCACGACTGCGCCCCGTCACACGCTTTCATCCTGCATTAGACTTTAAAAGAGATGGATTTCCCTCCATTGCACTTCTGTTGTTCACTGTTGCTCATCTTTAACACGCCTGTGCGAGTGTGTCCAGAGGCGCCGTAATGGACGCATTAGAGAGGACAGCTACAGAAATCCACCTGACTTTCAATGTGTGGGAGAAGATACGCCAGTTATAACCTCTCTGTGACAAACTTTGAATATGCTTATGAAAGCTCTATTCCCCCTGTTTGTTGGGGTGCCTGGATGCTGGTTTATGAGGAATATTGTGTGTCTGTGTGCTCAGTGATGAGATTAGAATCCAAATGAGGCGCACAGTAAACCCGTTGCCTCCCTCCTGGTGATTTATTTCAGCAGATATTAAACTCTGTGGTTTCACACAGAGAGAAACAAACATGCTAATGAGCCAAACATTGGGTTCACTGAGCCAGGAGTTAAAATTCATGAGCACCATTCTGAACATAACACATAATAATAATAATAATAATAATAATAATAATAAACTTTATGTCACAAAGCACATTCTCAAATCACTGCATGCTCTTGTGATGTGAAACTAAACCAGAGTGAAAAAGCAACAGTGCAATAAGAAAAGCAACATAATTATCTTATATTGCACCATGACTGCTTCCAAAGACAACCATTATAATCTACCAACAATTGTCATGCAAACTCCACTTTGAATATAACTGTGATAAAGCCCAAAGTGATTTTCCACATGTTTCCGGATTTATTCCAGTGCTCTCATATATCTGCGCTTTTTAGTCTTTCCCCTACTCCTCCTCCTTCCTTGATGAAGCGTATTTGTCCCAGTATTATCTAACTTTAACGTTTTAGGTGTGGTATTCCTACAAAGTATTTTTGCTGACAAATACGCACATATGATACAAAATATTAAACGTTTGTGGTCACATTGTCAGACTGTCAGAGTTGGGTAAAACTGCGACTATATTCAGTGTGTTGAATGTTAAATGTTAATCTGTAAAGTGTTTGGTGTGCTATGTTTATGTTTAGTTTAAATACAATCTTCTCGAACACTCCATTTGTCCATACATTGAAATAAATACACTCACACGGTCATTTTAGCACAGCGTTTAATTAAAAATACACTGCATTCACTTACTGTTTTCATTTTCAGAACCAAACCTGTTCAGTTCAAAACACGGTCATTTTATACTCTATACAATGCCATGCTGTTCCGCCATCTTGGATGATGACATCATCAGAGTCACATTTTTATGTAAACTTGTTTGTTTTGCAATGTTTTGTTTGAATTGTGTTGTGAATAAGTGTATTTTTGAGTTTGGGCGGGCTTTACTGTTTTATTATTAATTTTTGCTGTTTTTAGCCATAGTTGTGAAAATATCCACTGTGTGAAATGGTATGATCCATGGGCAGAACATATGCAAAGGTTTTTCTTTTGTTGTTGTCACTCCAGCCTCCACCGTCAGGCTAACCGCTTACACAGACATCTTTAGGTGCATGATTGTATGAATGCACAAACGTACGATCCTGGTGTCTCCATCTGCCCCTTAGTTTAGAGTTTGGCTTTATGATAGATTTTAATCAGTAGATTTAATCGTAATCCTAATAGAAAATAATGTTAACCTATTGCTAGCATGTCACTGTGACTCATGAGGTGACGTGCTTCCTGTGTAGTTGTGGGTATTTTAAACATAGTCTGCATGCTTCCCACTTCTTTCTATCATGACAAATTAGAAGGCTACAGACAGAGAAGATGTGGGCGCGGCCCTTTTGGAATTTGAGGAGATATACCTTTGTATACCATCTGATAATGCAATAAACATCATTCTTTCTGTTCATTACAATCCAGCCTCTCGAGTCTTCAATATTAAAAGAATTATGTTTTATTCTAGAAAAGCTTGCAGCCTGTTATTCAACCTCTAACCTTAGCCCCGTCCTCTTCATTCAAACAAGAATTGGGATTTTCCTTTGCGCAAAATGGAGGGGAAGTGGAAAGGGATAGGAGTGAGTAGAAATGGAATGGAGCCTAACCCTAAAATGACATGCTTTTTGGAGTCACATTTATGCATTTACATTTTTTTTTACAAAGCAACTTAAAAGGAATACCAATTTTACCAATTTTTGCTTTCTCTAATGTTCGAAACCAGGACCTTTACAAAGCTGGTGCAATGCTCTACAGACTAAACCACAGAAAATCTTTCTTCTGCTTCGCACTGCCTATGCCAGCTTCACCGTAACCTTGATGTAAAAGTATAAATCAGCCCCTAAGTAAACAACAGCTGACCTGTTTACACTTACTTATGGTTTATACTTGCTGAATAGGCAACACAAGTTTGTAAAATATGATGTTGCTCGGTGGTTGTATGCGTTACTAAGTCTTTGCAAAACTCCTATTGTGGTTTATAAAGGGCTCTTTCTGTTTGGGTAGCAGGGTATACTAGGTGTTGCTAGGGTGAGGTTACTGAGGGTGAACGTTCAAATAATTACACACACTGGAAAACCCTGTCAGTGTACAAGAAAAGCTGTTTATCTGCAGGGCTTAATTGTGATAATAGGCAAAATCCGGTTGGTTCATGACATTTACCTGATAAATGTACCCCGATGTGGGCATTTCCATGACCTTACACCTTGTCATGTTGCTGGGATAATTTGAACTGTGCTGCATGCACGCTCATTACCTGTGTTTATATGTGAGCTCTTACACTGATTATGTTTAATACGCTGACTGCTTGGTTTATGGAAACACCTCACAATGTCCTTCAATTCAGACTGATTAAGACATTTAGATCTGAAGCTCAAGATTTCCCTCACTGTGTAAACAAATGTCCTTCTGTTCTATCAGCTTTTGTCATCTTCACACATCTGGCTGGGCACAAACTTGAACAAAGGAAATGTGATTTGAGTTCATTGACGTTTATCCTTACTCTTAAATGATTTACAGAAAATTCTTTAAACATCAACAAAATAATGTGGAAAAAGTCATTGTGCTCAGATGTTGAAACTCTCTTCTGATAAATGACTAAATAATTGTCATTTTAAGAGGTCTTTAAAGGTACGATCCATCTTTGTTTGACACTTGACACTGAAGATAATAAATAGTGTTTTACCAATTTGTGGCACTTGAATTTAAAGTGTACTTCAGCAAAGAACTACTTTTCCTTTCTGTCATAATTGTATCAAATATTTGTCATTTTTCTGCATCTGTCTATATCTGGAGATGGGCAGACCACGTGACCCCGAATAAGAACAAGCGGGTAAGAAGATGAATGAATGAATGAAAGCAGTTTTTTTACATTTTCAAACCAGGATTGTTACTCTTTCTAGGTAGTTGATGTCATTATAAATAATATTCAATGTCATTGCACAAGTTTAAGTCCTGAATGTGGAGAAAATATTTTGATTGTTTCTAGTAGGACCTTACAAAACCAGTCTCTTTTTCCATTATCAAAGGACCTATAAACTATAGCTCCAACCTGCTTCAGGTTATCATCTTGTGGCTCTTGTGTTTACCTATAACACAATTTATTTCCCTTTTCTCAAGATGGTGTAAATATAAAAGGTGAAAAAACATATCCATATAATGTACACCAATACTATTATATTGGCATTTACCAGTGAATCTATTTAGTATTGTATTTATTCAAAATGGTATGTATCACAATAAACCTTTATAACAGATTCCTAGTGATTTCAATGACAATGTGTGTTGGTTTATTTATATATGTGGGAATAAAGTAATTCAAAGTATAGACACTTGTAAAAAAAAAAATCAGACCCTTCCCAAAACAAAAAGCTTGTTATGCTTTTAACAATATTCATTTATTTTCCTGCCTGCTTATTCTCTTTCAGGGTCATGGAGGCCTTTCTCCAGTTCATATCGGGCAAGAGGCGGGGGTACACCCTGGACAGGTCACCAG